TGTACCCAGTATACCGCTCAACCATTAACTAACCTGAGTCCTTGGGCAAGTTATTGTGCCTTCATCTATAATATGGAGCACAAGACCATTTCCCATTGTTGTTAGGTACTCACAGGAGATACTCCGATAGTAGTACCCATTTCATTATGTCAATATTGAATAGTCTGTAAACTGATTGTGTGTGTTGTTGTTAAGTGCCATCGAGTCAGTTCTGACCTGTATAGGGTTTCTGAGCAGTGGCTGATGGGTTTGAGCTACTGACCTTGTGGTTCAAACCCACTTTGCGGTCCAGTGTTTTATTCTATAGCGTCATTTCCCACAATTTCATTTAATTCTATGGAAATCAGTTAATCATGAGTGACTTAAACTGTATTTTAAGTTGGATGCCCAAAAAGCACTGAATGCAGGGTCTATTAGGGCAAAGTAGTGATTTTTCATAGAAGTTTATGTTTGTTAGATGGGATATAGTCCCGGAGGAGCAACCGGATAGACAGTACAGAAGAATTCTCTGAACTCATCATGGGTAAATAGCATAAATGCTTTCTTCAAGCCAACCCAGCTAGACTGTTACATAGGTATAAAAAGAATTAGTGGATTCTCTTCATTTTCTGATTGCGCAGTTGTGAACTTGCCTACTCACTACAATTTATTTGCAACTTCAGAATGAATCTCCATAGATGCACAAGGCAGCTGACAATTTGAGTTGCCTGAAAGGTTATACGCTCTGCCTTCTTGTTTTACTTCTCGTGCTGTAATCAGGTATCCTTTGCATGGTCTAGCGTCATGTTTTTTTGCATTTTTGAGTGTCTTGTTAATGATTGCACTGTTTAAAATGGTCCCCACATGTAGTGTTGAAATGCTGTCTAATGTTTCTAAGCGCATGAAGGCTGTGTGAAGAAAGCACATTGTGTTGCCAGATAAGCCTCATTCAGGTATGCATTGTAGTGCTGTTGACCATGAGTTCAATATTAATGAGCAGCAACAATATATAGTAAACAAATAAACATGTCTTTACACAGAAACATGTGAAACAGTTATGTACTAATTAATTGAAAAAAATGTGGCCAAAGGCTTGCTGTGTGCCGCTAGGAGAAATGGCTCAGTATCTACTAATTCCATTTTCTTCGTGACTTTACAGAACGTAACTAATGCAAATAATGAGAATCAACTATTCTTGGGCCCAGAAAAGTGTGAATCCACTTGCTACCTCTTGGTAAAGTTCTCTGCATTTGGAGCAAAATGACTAAGTTGGTTGACTGAGGAGTGCTTTGGATTTTCCTACTGTAGTAGCCTGAATCGTGTTTAGAGAAGAAACTCTTGGAATTTCAGCTGTTCAAATTTGAAAACCATTAAGGCAAATAAGAACTAGGACTTCTGTGTGGTACTTAATTATAAAGAGGATGGTCAAGGACTTTGCTGGGCCTTGGACTGGACATTGGACTGGACATAAGGAATATCAGAGTTCTCTGATGAAAGGTCTTTGAAAACAATTGCTCTGTCAAGTGCAAAAAATAAAACAAATCGACTTTTGGCTCTCTTCCTTGGCATGTGTAACTTACTTGGTTGATAATAGTGAAATAAGTTCATCTCACAATTTGTGAGGTGATTTTTTTCCCCTAAATTTTATTTTGCTGTTGTTAAGAATTGTTATTTATTGTTGTTGTTAGGTGCCTCCGAGTTGGTTGTAACTCATAGCGACCCTATGCATGAAAGAAGGAAACCCTGCCAGATCTTGGAGCATCGTCACAATTGTCGTTACAGCCTGAGTCCATTGCTGCTGCCACTGTCATTCCCTCTCATTGGGGGTCTTTCTGTTTTTTCGCTGACCATCTACTTTGATGATGTCCTTCTCCAGGGATTGGTTCTTTGTGATAATAGGTCCGAAGTCTCCCCATCCTTGCCACCTAGGAGCATTCTGACTGTACCTCTTCTAATACAACTCACTAATGCTGCCTGCGATGTATATCTTTATGAATCTGTAGGTTAATGCGCTGGACTGCAGAGTCGGTTTGAACCGCAAGGTTGGTGGTTCAAGCTCACCAGCCACTCCTCAGAAACCCTGTACAGGTCGTTATGGGTCAGAATCAACTCAACGGCACTTCACAACAACAACATTCCATTTCACTTTTGACAGCTTCCAATGTTCCCTAGATTCATACTTCATACATTCCATGTTGATTAGTAATGAACGTTTACAGGTGTTTCTCTTCAGATGAGGTGTTCCCCATCAGTAAATGAAGGTCCTGAAAGCTGTACTCCATTGGCATCATCACTGCCAACTCTTCCCCAGTTGAATTTTGAGTGCCTGCCAGTCTGTGAGGCTCATCTTCCAGTACTATATCTGACAATATTCTGGTGCTCTCTGACAGTGTCCCACTTCTGTTCATAAGGGTTTCAGTGGCTAAACATTCAGAAGTAGCCCGCCTCTCCTCCTCCGTAGTCTGAAAACTCCACTGAAACCTATCCATCGTGGGTGACCTTGCTGGGATTCAGAACAGTCATGGCATAGCTTCCAGCATCACAGCACCACGCAGGCGGTCACAGTGTGACAAAGTGATAGACGAGTGGTGGTTTGAAGTACATACAACTACAAACACACCAATTCAATGGTTGCTACCTGTACCATTTAGTGATGTTGATTATAGTCATCAAGCTGTGCAGCCATTCTCAACCCCTTTTCTGAGGTATTGCTAACCCGTTAACATAAACTCACTGCCCCCTAAGGTTTCTGTCTAAATTTCCCAGTGCCTGTTGTCAACTTGATCATATAGGTAGATTGTGAAAGAGCATAATGCTCAAGGCAGACATTCTTTAGTAGTTAAGCTAAACTGTTGTTCAGTTTTTAGGAAAACTTCAGGGGTATTTTTGGTTTATAGTTCAAAGATTATTTCAAGGCAATAGTTTCAAAAGTTCATCCACCCTCTAAGACTCCAGAAAGTCTGGAGTCCTTACGAATTTGAAATTCTGTTCTGCTTGTAAGGATTCTTCTGTGGAATCTTCGATCACAGCATTCAATAATGGCAGCCAGGCATCATCCAGTTCTTCTGGTCTCATGGCAAAGGAGGCAGTTGGTTTTGGAGGCAATCAGTCAAACATTCCATGTTTTCCTGCAGTTTCTGACTTTCCATCTGTTGCTCCAGGTATATAGAGACCAATTGTTGTGCCTAGGTTGGCTCTTTACAAGCTCTTAAGACCTCGGGCACTACACCGTGGACTCGGAGACAGAATAAAAGTACTGAACATATTACTTGATAAATAAACTAGGAAGTCCCATGAACTGTGATTCTCAACTGCCAAACCGAGGATTCTAATCCCATGAGATGTTTGGCTCTACACAGCAGCCTTGGTAGCTACTCTTTTTGTTGTCAATATGATGCACAATGATTGACAGCAATTATAAGAAAGAGCTGTATATCCCTACCCTTAATGCAATTTTCCCATCACAGTTAACCTCCTTTCCCTTCTTCCTCCTGCCTCTGGTGGTGGTGGTTGTGTGCCGTGGAGTCAGTTCCGACTCATAGTGGCCCTGCATAGGGTTTCCGAGGCTGTAAATCTTTACGGGAGCAGAAAGCCTCATCTTTCTCCTGTGGAACAGCTGGTAGTTTCGAACTGCTGACCTTGAGGTTAGTTGTTATACATTGACCTTTTCCTGTCGTTTTATATAAGTGAGGTCATACAGTATTTATATCCTTTTGTGATTGGTCTATTTTGCTTGGCATAATGTCATCAAGCTCCATTCATACTGTAGCATGTATGAAGACTTCATTTATCCTATCTGAGTAGTAGCCCCTGGTGTTTATGTATTGCATTTTGTGAATTCAGTCATCTGTTGATGGCCATTTGGGTTGCTTCCACCTTTTGGCTAGTGTGAATAGCACTGCAGTGAATATTGGTGAACAGATCTCTGTTTGCTTCCTAGTCTTTTGTGCATATACGATGGAGTGGACTTGCTATATTATGTGTTAGTTCTATGTTCAGTTTTTTGAGGGGCAGCAACAGTGTTTTCCACGATGGCTATAGTATATTCCCACCAACAATGAATAAGAGTTCCAAAACTAAGGTGATTTTAAAGTTTTTGTTTTTAAGTGATACTGTGGACAAATGTTTTCAAAATGTATACATTTGAATATACTTTATGAAAAAATATATATAACTAGCAGTCACAGCTATGATTTCACTAAATCTAAATTTAAGTGAATACATGCACCGTTGGTTTCTTTTTAAGTAAATGATCAAGTAAATAATAGTACTGGTGATGTGTGGATTTTAGCAAATATGGCGAATATGGCAGCAGAATGACTAAAGTGTGAGAAATTCTAGTAAAAATAAGGATTTGGTCATTTTTCTTAAGTGGAACTTTCCTTTTTCCAAAATGATTATATTCCTTTTTCTATTTTATTCAAAATTAGATACTTCTATTATAGGCTTATGTTTGTCCTTTATAGTTAAAACTAGTTTTATTGGTAAAGGTAGTTTAAAATGCTCTGTGTAAAGTAAGAGGAGGGGGCGATGTCCACGTTTGGGACTTCTGAGGAACTGCTTTCTCTGTCTGGACACTGACCTGTGTGATAGCGTAGCCCTCAGGATACTTGTGAGCACCCCATCCCATCTTCCTCAGTGGGCCGGGGCGACACTGTTGGGCTGACCTTTTGGCTGCAGCACCCATCTTTAAGGTGGGTAGGAGAGCCCAGGGTCCCACGGCTGTTCGAAAGTATATCACAGCTGGTCTGTTCTTGGCTTGCTGTTTTTTTCCCCCCAAAGACTTGTCTAGACAGAATGGTGAATAAAGTTCTTAATCTCTTATTGTGGGCCTGGGGGCCAAAGGTATATGTAAAGCTTCTGACAACAAGAAAAGAAAGAATATTGGAAATGAGAAAATCAACTTTATATTGAATTATGAGAAAACGAATCTGTTTCATAGATGATCACATTTAAGAAATGTATATTTCATTTTTTGTCACGTTATGAGATAATAGCATGTTTTTCTTTCCTCTTTACAGGTACTGGTTTTGGCTTAGGAATTATTTTCTCACTCACCTTCTTTAAAAGTAAGTGTTACTATGACTAGTTTTCCAGCATACAGCCTTATAGCAGACACCTTCAGGAAAGCCGGGCTAGATGGCTGCCAGCCCATCCTCTTTGGGGGTTACTTAGGTTAGTGTAAAATGAGCCAGACAAAGAATGTGGATTTAGGAGAGGTCCAGATGGGTTGGGCATCTCCAGAATTCCCCCCGGGCACTGAGTCAGGGTGCCTGAAATCTTAAATATGATATCACTGTGAAAGTCTGTACTCAATGCCAGTGAGTCATTTGGCCAAATCTACGCCCTCAAATATTTCTAATTAATTTTGCAAGTTTTTCTAAAGGAACTTGAAAATGAGAGTCCTGCTCGCAATGAGAACAAGTGGACCAGAAAAACACATGCTTCTTGGCCAAAACTGCTCCTGAACAGAGGGCAGGCAGTGTCCTTTTTCATTCTGTGGAAGAACTTCTGAAGTTTGGATAGTGAATAAAAGCCACTTTTCATGAAGAACTGGCTGGAAACACATAACTAGAAAATCATACTTAACAAATCACGCTGATAGGAAGTAATCCTTTTGCAGTGTTTGCTTAAGTAAACGCCATGACTTCTTTATTAGCAGAATGTACAAATATTTGTGAATTTCTTATATACTTTTTAAATTCCAGAATTTTACTAAAAGGTATAACTTTTTGGATAAGGTTAAGAACTTAGCTTAAATTAAGCAAATGATTAGAGCTGATACAGAAAATATTTTCTAATTCAGCTCTGCCTACTGCTTCACTACTGTACCATTTATTTACCTTGAAATCTAGCAGCATGGGCACTTCCTCAGTTCTACTAAATGATCCTGTTTGCTACCTGACCTCTTTTTTCACCTTTAATGAAGCATCAACAAAAGTGTGTGGCATACTGTAGTTGTCAGTGTGATGTATGTTGAATATTTACTGAACCCTAAGCAAATGTATCTAAGTGGGAAAAAAGCTTTATCACCTTCTAATAGTTTCCTGTTGGGATTTTCCATTTTCTGTTCCCTTAGGAAGAATGTGGCCATTAGCCTTTGGTTCTGGCATGGGATTGGGAATGGCCTACTCCAACTGTCAGCATGATTTCCAGGCTCCGTATCTTCTCCATGGAAAATATGTCAAAGTATGTGCAGAATTTATATTTCACTGTCTTTCAAAAGGAAAAGAGTTAATTTCTACTGAGCCCCTGAAAAATTCTTTAGTGGGAATAGGGATAATCAGTAAGCTATGTGTTATCACTGTGTCTTCTCCGAGATTTTGGCCTTTGTTGTTATTAAATGCTGTGCAGTCGATTCCGACTCATAGCGACCCTGTATAAGGCTCCCAAGTAGAGGTAGGTGGGTTTGAATCTCTGACTTTGCAGTTAGCAGTCCAGGACCTATCCTACAGCAATGTTAAGTCTCTCCCTTGTACCTTTGGGTGTATATATGCATTCAGATATATGCTCAGATGTTAGCTGATGGAAACTGATAAAACTGTGGGGAAGTTTATCAATGGTAAAGTAGATCTGTGTTAAATATCTCTAAGTAGCATTTTTTTTGTTCAAGATTGTAGAACAACCTGTCAACATCCCATGCATCTTGCAGCTAAATCTAAATACTGCTGGGAATGGGATTGAGCCATTTGTCTGCTTTTTATTGAAGGGAATAGGCTCTTGACAATAAGTTCCACATGATTCTGCCAAAGTCCTTTCCTTCAGATGGATCTTTAATGGTTTAAAAAAGCTGGAAAGTTATTACACATCACAAGAGGGGAAAGAATAGCAGATAGCCGTCCTCTTAATTTCTGTGTGTGTTGTTGGAAGAAGTGTAGCCAGAGTGGCTCCTTGAAGGCCAAGATGGCCAGACTTCATCTCTCATACTTCAGACATGTTGTCAGGAGGGACCAGTCTCTGGAGAAGGATATCATGTTTGGTAAGGTGGAGGGTCAGAGAAAAAGAGGAAGACCTCCCAAGGAGATGGATTGGCAAAGTGGCAGCATCAGTGGGCTCAAGCATGATAACAATTGTGAGGTCGGCCCAGGACCGGGCAGTGTTTCGTTCTGTTGTGCATAGGGTCGCTATGAGTTGGTACCGACTCGATGGTACTTCACAACAACAGCCAAGCCTATTCGAGACGATTGTTTCTGCAAGGTTTAAGTGAGAGGCCATGAAAGACTGGGTGCTCCGCAAGGATAGAGGTGATATTTATTTTTGTTTCTCCAGGACCTGAATCTACTTGGCACTCCCATAAATGTGCAGTGAAAGAAGGGGGAGAATACAATGTTTGGCATATTGGATATGCACGTTAATGGTCACAGGCTTACTAAGACAAAAATCTTTTTAGCAACACAGCCTTCAGTGAAGAACTTGTTCCCTGGATGCATAGAAACGTCTACTTTCCAGGTTACCCTTGAACTAGACTTCGTATTTTCTGGGCTGCAGCAGGGACTGATGGCTAGAGTGTGGAGCACAGGAGTCCTGGTTTTGTGGGTCGTAGGCCATCGCTCACTACCTGTGTGCTCTTGAGTCTTGAGTGTGCTGTCCATATGGTGAGGGTAGTCTTTCTACCTTACAAGGTTGTTGTGAGGATCTCACGAGCTCTTGAGTAACTACTAAAAATGTTCTTAAGCTGTGCGGTATCATATAAGTGGAAGCCTTGGCTATGAAAACTTAGGCCAACCAACAAAGGCTGATTGACTTGACCACTGTTCCGCCATGACAAGTAGAGCGGAAAATGTGGTACAAATGAGTGTCCTGATTTTGCTCAAGGGCTGTAACCATAGAGGGCACGGAATCTCAGATCCCAGGGTCCACCCCCTGCGCAGTAGCCTCTACCGGGGAACCTGCTCAGATCCTGTCAGCTGCCTTTCGACCAGCCTTTGCATGCTGGAAGAGACCTGGGAGCAAGGAGAGTTGGCCAGCTAGGGAGCCTGGCAGGCCTTTCCCTGCCCTCCACGTTAATGAACCCTCTCTGCCCCGAAGCCAGGCTGAGGTAATCCGAGGGACAGTGCAAGTGGGGGCACAGCTGCATGGCACCAAAGCCAACGACGGGCTGTTTCCACTGCTCCCTGACTCTTCACTTTCCTGGCGCCAGAGAGCTGAATATTGGGGAGGATAGAAGGACAGGGAGAGGAGCTTCAGGTTTCCTAATTGTTTAAAAGGTTTGCATTGTTCCAAACTCAGTTGTCATGGGTGACGGCTTAGTATATGCGTATTATATACTTAACGTCTGGGAGTAACTGTGGAAAATACTGTTACATTTTTACAGTCATGTGCATACTGTTCCAAAACGGCCTTGTAACTTTATCTGAACTTGAGTCTGTGCCTCGATGTTGTCATGCTCTACTCCCTGAGAAGAGGTGCAAAATCCCCACTGGGGGTTGTGTAGTCATGCTATGGTAACTGCTTGTTGAGTGCCTAATGTGCCCTGGGACCGTCCTTGGTGTTCTGTCTCTATCCTTCCTCTCTCGCTTTCCCAGTAGATTTGTGAGTAAGGTCTTACAATCCTCACTGAGCAGTGAGAAAACGGAATCTTACTGAGATGAAGACTCTTGCCAAGGATCACATCATTAGTAGGCTGTTTGATTCCAGGGTCGTGCTGTCTTTGGGGGGTTTCAGGACTGCAGACATCCTATGCCACTTTCCCATTCTTCTCCACAGAGACTGGGGAGGCAGTCTTTTATGCACCAGCGTTTATGTGTACAGTTTTCTCATTTGATGGTTCTAATGCAGACAGTGGGGCATGGGTTGGGCTCCATTGGTCCTTTGGGTCTGACCTGAAGCAGCGAGTTGCAGGGGTGGTCAGTGTGCTGTGTGCACAGTTCTAACCTAGATGTCCTTGCTTTGCAGGAACAGTGACAGGCCTGACGACATCCCCGTGGGAGGAACAGAGAAATCATGTTTATTCCTCAGGAATAGTGAAGTGCCCTGGAGTAAGCTGACACTCTTCTGGAACAATGTGATCAGTAATGCTTTAGACTCCAGCACACTGTTTATGTATTTGAAACCAAGTCTGTTTCTTGTTTTGTATTTTCTCTCTGAAAATTGCAAGGAGGTGGTCTTAAAGGAAATAAACAAAATAGGAAGCCCAGTACGTTGCCTACAGTTTTGTTTTGTTTTTTTTTTTGGTTTTTACCTTTGGTCTCTGAGCACAAGGAGGATGGTGTTTGACCTGCCAGCCGCTGTAACTGCATTGTCACACCTCCCTGAGAGCCCTCCTGAATCCTTGGTCCTCCCCACTGGCCCTAATGCATGGCTTTCGAGCTGCTTCCACTCCATAGACCGGAGGGTGGAGAGTGTGGCTACGTGGTCTGAAGGCGATGACAAACGTCTGGAGGAGCCTCTCCTTGCTGCAGCAGCTCACCAAGGAACCTGGCAGGGCATGTGTCACTAACGTGAACTCGCTGGCTGGCTGTGTGGATGGGTCACCTTGATGTCACGTCCTGCAGTGTGCGTAGAGCTTCCTGCAGTCTTCATCCCTAGGGGTTTTCTCCTGGATGGTCTGAGAAGCTGGTGCCATACTCAGCTGGCTGAAAGGCAGGACTTTGAACCAGTTCTTCCCAGTTCAGTCTTGGCCTACTAAGTGAAACTGGAACAGGCCCGAATGTGTTAAATGTGGGTGTACTGGAGCGATGATTGGAACGGGAAAAATTACGAGTCTATGCTAGAAACATAATCTGTGTCATAGAAAACAAGGGCAGCGTTTATGTTGCATAGTAACCAACTCTCTTGACCGTCAAGATTGGAAACCATGGTGCCCAGCTCAAAACCTGTGACCGACCACACTGCTTTGAATGTATCTGGCTTTCCACAGTCCTGGCAATGTCCCGTTCCCCACATTGTTCCTGAAAGAATCTCCTGTTCTAGGACTTTATCCCATAATCCTTCTCATTGTGATTGTCATTCCACTTCACTCAAATCTGAAAACTTCAGTCTATTCTGATTTTGCTTTGTTGGCCATGATTTAACCAGCTTAGGTGGTTTGAGGCCCTGCTGGAGGCCAGAACAAGGTGCAGCTTACCTTCACCCAGCTGCTGCAGCTTGAGGACAAAAGGGCCATTTCTAATGGTCAGCTCTGAGTTTGGTCCTGTGATTTCACCTGAACCTGAGAGGCTGGTCACAAATATGGTTTGTAATTCTTAATATTTCTAATTTATTCTGAAAATATACCGACTCCCAGAATTTAGGCTGCCGTACATACCCTATTCTCTCTTAATAATAAAATTAAGATGAGCAGAGTGTGCTCCCATGTGCCCCTTCATTCTGTAAATGATCACTAAGCATCAAACATGAGCTGGGTACTATTCAGTCACCAGAGATAAATGGATGACAAGACACAGCTCCTGCCTTCAAGGAGCTTAGAGTCTAATGGAAAGACAGTCATGCAAGCTCTCAGGAAACTGGAAGAAAACTGTTCTAATATGGAGGGGAGATGAAGGCCAACCACCGTGAGAACAGATTATCCCTGAGGAATGAGGGAACGCAGGAACTGAGACATGAAGGTACTCCAAGCTGACAAGGAACAGAAGAAAGGTAGCTTATGTAAAGGCTCCGGATCACAAAAGTACATTGTATAGTTGTTAAGTGCTGTCGCGTCGATTCCGACCGATGTAACCCTGTACAGGGTTTCCAAGGTTATAAATCTTTACGGGAGCAGAAAGCCTTATCTTTCTCCCGCAGAACAGCTGGCAGTTTCGAACTGCTGACCTTAAGGTTAGCAGCCCGATTCGTAACCACTATGCGACCAGAGCTCCTTAGAGAACTGCAAATGGTTCCATGTAGTCAGAATGAGTAGGGGCAAGGAAAGGAGAGGGTGGAGAGATGAGGCAGTGTACCAGGGTAGAACTAGTATCTGACCCCAATTCTAGAACACTGATTAGATCTTAGGTTTTGCAAATAAATGTACTGAGTGAACTTTTGGCATCTTTGGATCAGCTTTGAATACAGATGGGCCTGAGCCAAGGGCTGTAAGGCATGGCCATGGCTTGCCACAGTCATTCTGCTATTTTTCACTTTGTCCCCTTCATTCCATGACTAAGGCGACCCATGTAATTAAGAGAAAAAAAACCAAAACACCAAAAAGCTTCGTGACGTATTTCATCCCTTACACTTGTCTTCTCTGTATTTGCTTTTAAAGTTAATATTTCCTTCCAATTTTTCCATCTTTATTCAGGCAAAGACTAGAATAACAGATCCCCTTCCAAAAAAGACAAAACCAGAAAGCGTCGTGTCTACTAATTCTCTAGATATGTCGGAAAAATATGGAGTGAAGAGGGACACTGGAATCAAACTTCTCTGTTTCATTAGATTTTAGGCAAGTCTTTGGTCTCTGCCTGGGACCTTTGAAACACCACTTGTTTTGAGAAATTGGTCAGCTCTTTGAGAGAATCATTCTGGGCAAAGGCCAGCCAAAGGAAGCATTAAGTCTGTTTGCTTTAATTCCAGAGTACTTTATATTCATGCCTTGTAACTCTTAGCAGAGACTGACCCAGAACACAATGCTTGATCTTGTCCCCACTCCCTGCCCCCATCTCAAATCAACCTTTAGAAGATTCCAGCTTTCTGGCAAAGGCACACAATCTGTTCTACTTTAAATTGCATTAGAAATTCAAGTCCTCCGAGGCCCTGTTCCCTTGTGGGATTGTGAAACTTTGACTTTGCTTCTTGTCTGCCCTTCTGGAAGCAAATGCAAAGAAATTCACGGGTTTGGGAAGAGAGTGATGGGAACCCAGCTGGGCACAGAATACTGGGATAAAACTGTGGCGCCCCGAAAGTGGCCTGCTCTGCCAACATATATAAATACATTACAGTCTGAGCTTGACACTGTATAATTTGGCCCAGAACAATTATGTATTTTGAACTCATTTAGGTGAATGACTTTGACATTCCAAGTACCCACTGGGTGGGGGAGCCTTCTTTATCAACTGCTTTCGCCTTATGCAGAAGTAAGTATGTCTTTGTTCTGAGGAAAGGCCTCTGAACACCCTCTGTTGAGTTGTCTCCTTTAGAGGCTGTGTCCTCTCTCATCCATTTCAAAAACTCTAGCTATGCAGTCTTGGCAGTGTCGTGGAAGACTGTGTACAGGAAATTCAGAGATTGGGAATGAAGGAGATAACCATGTAACTTTGCTTACAGTTTTCCCAAACCTCACTGTTGACTTTTTTTTTTTTAATGTAACAAAGCCATAATTGCATTTTACTTGTCGTGGTTCAGTCTGATTGTATTGTTGAAAGACTATTTTTGAACCTGTCCAAATAAACTCTGCAAACTAGTTCCACGAGGATGTACTTCATGGTTCTGGAACAGCCTTCATCCTAAATGGTTTCCGGTTGCAGGCTTTCTAATTACATAAATGCAAAGGGGGGGGTGGTGGGATAGAAGGGAGAAAGTGGAAATTCTAAATACCTAAAGGAATGTTCACTTTAGAATAATAAGCTCATCTGGAAGTGATTGCCACCTTTTCTTTTAAGAGTGCTACAGTCACCACTTCCCCTGGGCACCAGTGAGCGCTGCCTGGATAAACCGACCTAGGCAGGAACCAGGCAAGAGGTCTTCCTGTGGTCACTGAACAAGTGTGAGAACCTAGCCATAGCTGTTAGGACTGGAAGTGCCCTATTTGTCCATCTATTCTAGTGGCCCCTAGAATACTTATTGGAACTTGGGTACAGAGTGGTTATGAGTTGGGCTGCCAACCTCAAGGTCAGCAGTTCCGCAGACGAAAGACGAGGCACTCTGCTCCTGTAAAGATTTACACCCTTGGAAACCCTATGCACGGTCGCTGTGAGTCGGAACTGACTCCCGGCACGTAACCACCATCACCACCAGGCTTAGGAGTCCTGGTGTGGTGCTGTAGGACAAGTACTGGACTGCTAACTGCAAGGGCGGTGAGTCAAACCCACCAGCTCCTCCTTGGACATCCTATACAGGGTCTATGAATCAGAACGGAATGTCATTTAACAACAGGCTGAGGGAAAAAGGGGAACTCTAAAATAGGATGGGAATTAACTATGTGATCCTCACTTAAGGTGTTTAAAACATGAAGATGTAAGTGGAGAAAGGGAATGTCAAGAATTTTCGGAGGAGGTGTGGGCAGAGGATGGGTCCTTAATAGGAAAGAAAGGGGCTAGAAGGAGCAACTAACTCATAATCAACTGTCAAACAAGTCATGTTTCTCTACCTCATCTATAGCCAGTTTGAGCCAGCAGGATTTTTTTGATAATTTCAAATGAAGATACGATAATAGTTAACATATACTGGGCCCATAGTATCTGCCACTTATTGTCCTAAGGTTTTGCATAAACCATCATGCTTTTGCATTTTACAATCCTATGAGAAAAGTATTACATCCTCATTTTATAGATGAAGAAATCAATTTTGAAAGGATAAATTAACTTGCCAAGGACACACTGCTAAGAGGTGATAGAGATGGGATTTGAATCGAATTCCAGAGCCCAGACTTTGCTATGCTGATCAGAAGCTATTTAAACTGGGAAGGTCATGTAAGAATGCTTTGATCCATTTTAAACCAGGGCTTCAAACCAATTCAGCCAGTTCATTCATGCTCAAAAAAGCAACAACAGAGCACCTTGAAAATTTTAAATGTGGGTGAACAGGAACACTAGCCAGAACAGGAAAAATGACAGGTGGAAGGCCTGCTAGAAACTTAATCTCTCTCTCAAAAAGCAAGGACATGTTGCATAGCAACCAAATCTCTTGATCATCATAGTCAGAAACAACAGTGGCCAGCTCAAAGACGGCGACCAATCACACCACCTTGAATGTGTGTCACTCTTTACAGTCCTGGAAATAATCCAGTGTCCTGCATCAGACTTCTGACAGGGCTCACTATGCCTCTTTGCAACCTTCTATTCCAGGTTTTCAATCCAGATGTTTCCTATTCTGGATCATCCAAATTTTTAAAATTGAGGCCTACACCAGTTTCTATTTGTATGTCATGGCTAAACGAATTTAAACTGGTTCAAACCTTGTTGTTGTTAAGTACCATGGAGTCGGTTCTGACGCATAGTAAACCCTGTACGTGGTTTCCAAGGCTGTAAATCTTTACGGGAGCAGAAAGCCTCATCTTTCTCCCATGGAATGGCTGGTAGTTTCGAACTGCTAGCCTTGAGGTTAGCAGCCTGATTCGTAACCACTACACTACCAGAGCTTCTTGGTTTAAACCTTACTGATATACTAATAGTTAAAATTAACCAGATCCTGTTTCATTGAGTTTAAATCAATAAAAACAAGTTGATCCAATTTGAAATCAATTTGTAGTTAGCTGTCAATGGAGCTGATTTCTACTTGTGATGACCCCACATGTGCAGAGTAGGAGTTTCCAAGGTTCTGACCTCTAGGAAGCAGTTCGCCAGGCTTGTCTTAGGCTCATCAGGTAGGACTTCTAACCACCAACCATTTGGCTAGTAGTTGAGCA